GTTAAAGAATTGGAATCATTTCTTGGTTTTGCAAATTATCATAGAGAACATGTTGACCATTTTGCTAACATTGTTGAACCACTTCACCATTTAGTTAGTAAGTATTCAGAATTCAATTGGCTAGATGAACATCAAGAGGCATTTGATAAATTGAAAGATTCTCTGTTAAATGCCACAATATTAAACCACCCAGATCCTGATGAGACTTTTATATTAGATACTGACGCTTCAGATAAAAGTATAGGAGCGGAATTAAGTCAAATTCAAGATGGTGTAGAAAAAACTATTTCATTTGCAAGTAAAGTTTTAACACCAGAACAACGCAAGTATTGCACAACAAGAAAAGAACTATTATCTATTGTTGTTTTCAACAGACAATTCAGACTTTATTTATTAGGAAGACCTTTTGTAATTAGAACAGATCGTAACAGTCTGATTTGGTTGATGAATTTTAAAAACATTCAGGGTCAGCTAGCTAGATGGCTAGAAGAATTAGCACAATATAATATGGTCATTCAACACAGATCTGGTAAACATCATCAAAATGCAGATGCATTGTCTAGAATTCCTGATCCAGTACCATCATGTAATGACTATAAAGCAAATATTCCACTAAATTCTCTTCCATGTGGAGGTTGTACTTTTTGTACTAGAGCTAGAAAACAATGGGAAACTTTTGAAGAGGATGTAGATTATGTTGTTCCCATATCAATAAGATCAACAAAAACAAGCTCAGATTTAGATCAGTATACAAGCTTATTATTAGATAATGATGAAATAAAAAATGCACAAGAACAAGATCCAGATGTAAGTCAAATTGTATTATGGTTGAAAAACAAATATGAACCATCCATTCAAGAACTCCAGCTGTCTAGTAAGACCATTAGACACTTTTGGTTATGTAGATCACAGCTACAAATAAAAAATGTTATCCTATATTATTTGTGGGAAGATCCTACTTTATGTAGTTCCAAAAAGTCTGAAACAAAAAGTACTAGAATTCTGTCATGATATTCCTCTTTCAGGGCATTTAGGGCAAACAAATACAATAGAAAAACTAAAGAAATGTGCTATATGGTATAATATGCATACTGACTGTAAGGAATATGTAAGATCATGTGAAATTTGCAATAAAAACAAAAAACCAAATGTTAAAGCTAGAGGACAATTAGGGCAGTATCATTCTGGTGTCCCAATGGAAAGAGTTCATATGGACATTTTAGGTCCCTTACCTGAAACAAAATTAGGAAACAAATACATTTTAATGATCATAGACCAATTTACAAAGTGGGTCGAATGTTTCCCTTTACCAAATCAAAAAGCTGAGCTTATAGCTAAGACATTTGTAGATAATTTCATTTGTAGACTGGGTTGTCCTTTAGAATTACACACTGACCAAGGTAAAAATATGGATGGTAATATCTTGCGAAATATCTGTGATCCTTTACAAATCGCTAAAACGAGAACTACCCCATATCACCCAGCTTCAAATGGTCAGATAGAAAGATATAATCGAACAATTTTACAAGCTTTAAGGTGCTACATAAAAAACAAACAAGATACCTGGGACTCATATTTACAACAACTGGCAGGAGCAATTAGAGCTACAAAGAATAGACAAACGGGGTTTACACCAAATCAAATGATGTTAGGAAGGGATGTTATACAACCCTTAGACATATTTCTTGGTACAACAATCAATACAAAAGAAACAGATACAAATGAATATGTTTCAAAATTAAGATCAAATTTAGAACTTATCCACAAAGAAGCCAGAGATAATCTCAAATCTTCACAACAAAGACAAAAAAGAGATTATGACTTGAAATCTTTTCAAAGTACATATCAGATAGGGGATGTTGTATATAAATTGAATTCAGCCACAACTGTTGGCCAAAGTCCAAAATTAAAATCCCCTTGGAAAGGCCCTTACATCATTTCAGAAATTAAATCCCCTGTTTTGTATAAAATAAAAAACAGAAAAAGAGAAGAAGTTATTCATCATGACAGAATTAAGCTTTGTCAAGATCGAAACCATCCTGTATGGTTATCCCGGTTAAGAAATCAAATTCTTAAAAAATGTGATGTTGAGGATAGCTCTGTTCAAGAAACTGATTCTGACAATGTGTTCAACCTTTCAGAACTTTTTAATGCACAAGAAAATAATTTTTATGATGATAGTGAAGAATTGTCTGGAGATCAACAGATAGTGGAGTCGGATACTCTGATACCATTGTCTTGTGATGTCTCAGATAGTTCTAAAAACAAACCAGAGAGAAATAGGAGAAAACCTAGATATTTGGCTGATTATGATCTTGATGATTAATTTGCCAATATATTAATGTTTTATTGTAATATATATATATTTTATGACATATGTAGCTTGGCTTACAGACTCAGCCTAGATATTTTATCTATAATATGTAATGAGTAAGGATACTTATTCTAAAAAAAAAAAATACATGTAAATATGTATATAAATATTAGGTATTGACTGAGTATAAAAATACACTTGTGAATATATTCAGTGTTTTATTTAGTTAGAATGGAAGAAGAAAGGGACTTCGTTCCTGATTATGAACCCGAGTATGATCAACTACTCAGTCCTCCATCTAGGGTGCCTGGTTCGACTACCAGTAAAAGAGGGAAACCGTGCCCAATCTGTATGGCCAAATTTACGCATGTTAAGCGCCATGTCATAAAAGATCATTTGCCATGGTATGCCTATCCCTCTACATGCTGTCCATCTTGCAGAATTAACTTTGGCCAAAAACACTTTTTAGATGTGCATGTGAAAAATCAACATAACAATAATAGCCCTCTACAACAGTTTGACCATTTCTGGATGGATTTTATGTATTACCTATTCTTACAAATTATACATGTTTTGAAATTAGAAACTTTTGAGAATCTGTTTAAATTCATTAACAGTAATGAACAGTTCAGTTGTTGTCAGGGATCTGTTTTTCAAGAAGATGATCTTTTTCTAGGTGAAAAATTTTTAAAAGTAAAATTTCCAGGATTAACAGTTTCAAAAATACCCTTTCCAGTAGTTAATGCTTCATCTCTTTTACACTGGAAGATTTTAAGCAATCTTACAGATGTTTCTAGCTGTACAGATCTTCTTTTTAAAGTGTACAAAAAGTATGTAGTGTGGATTTTAGGTTCATCAATTGTACATTGGGCTGCTCAAAGAGCAATTGACATTGGTATAGAAAATTTTGAATTTGAAAAGACAAAATTGAGCATTTTTTGGCATGGAATAAGGGGCATGAAGTGGGAAAGTTTATTGGATACTGTCTCTTTTTGTAAATCAAAATTTCCTCTGCCAGATTTCATAATTATACATTTAGGTTCAAATGATATCAAATTTGGATGTTCAAGAAAATTATTATCACACATGCAGAAAGATTTAGCTGAAATCAGACGAGAGTTTCCAAATTGTAAAGTGATTTTTTCAGATTTATTAACCAGGCTTACTTGGAGAGGTTAAAATTGGGAAGAGGGAGAAAAGGAAAGGTCTACCATTAATAAAGGAATGTATGATTTTATTGGAAATGAAAATAATATTAGACATGCTAAAATTGAACCCAGAAAGAGATATTTATTTAGGAGAGATGGCATTCATCTCTCAGATTTGGGCAATGATTTCTTACTGGAAGATTTCAAAATCAAAATTCAACAAAGTATTATTTAAAGTTTGATAACATCTTTTATAGTTATTTATGGATGATGCTGACAAACAGTCGGATCGTCTGATTGTTGCCAATTTCATTGTCTGTGTGTAATAAATAAACGAATTACAAGTTTTTATTCTGACACTATTCTTTTTAAAACTATGTAAGTTCTATATGCATTATATTTTAAAAGACATAAATATTTTAATGATCATATGTATATAGACTTTCAAATATGAGGGGGAGGAATGTAGTGATGTACGATGTATTTATGATCGGGATCCTTATAATGTGTATAAATGGAATGTAAATAGTTTTCAGTAGTTACCCCGTAGACCTTGCAGAGTCCAGACGTATTATACGGCCTGTGAGATCCGGTAACTCAGATCTTTGGTGAGTTATTGACTCATCTATTGGTTGTTTATTCTTATTTCATTGTATTTATTTATTTCGAAATATTAACACAACAAAAGTACAAATGTTGACGTTTTGTGTATTGGGGTCCGAGAAAGGAAAAACCAACTAATCATACGTTATCGCGGCAAACGTCAAACAAATTATTTTTCTGCACAGTTAAAAAAAAATTAGCATTTCAAATGGCAACAATGTTTATAAGTCGAAGGTGTATTTTTATGTTGTGTTTACACTACTTTTTTTCTTTGAAAGCAACGGAAAAATGATAAATGATAACAAGTATCAACAAACCTGTCGAATAGAACCTTCGAGAGCCCTGCGTGAGTGTTGCCGAGTTCCCGTTTCTTCCTTATCCAGCGATTATATTAATCCCCAAACTAAATTTTAGTCAGGAAAGTTGCTTTTTTAAGTTCTTTTTTCAGTTTCTTTTTATCTTTGGTCGACTTTGTCAATGTAGCAGGCCTACCGGGATTCCCTCTCTAACCATGCTGTTTTGTTTATGAAAACTACGCATGCGTGCATGGCATGGAATGTGGAACCCCGAACACGTTGCGATGTATATATTTACGTCCCATAAATAACTATTAATTTCAATGAAATAATCCAAATTATTTAATTGTAAAAGTTGTAATTTTCTGAAAGTTTATACATTTATAAGTAGTAAAAAAATTCAAAATCTTGCCGGAAAATTTTATCAAGTCAGTTTTTAGATGAGATGCGCTGTACTGTCACTTTAAATATCGTGAAATGCCTCATAGACATAAAACCACAAGAGCCTGAATATGCAAGAGAACTATTAAAAGTTTTTACTTATATTTCAGCAAAATTAAAATAAAAACAATAGCAATTATATATATTCAAAATGGTATCTGTTATTCCTTGACCAACCTTGCTATAATTACTTTGTAGGTGGACTGTACTGTACATAGAGCAACATGTGACTCCTATGGAGTCCGGAGCTATCCAACACTGTACTTCTTTAGGAATGGAGAAAAGGTAAGCATTACAGGTAAATAAAAGAAGCGTAAAAAATGATTAGTATTCTTCATCAGGGTATGCATTCACATCAGGCTTTTGTGGAAGACAAGTGGTGATATTAAGAGTAGAAAAGCCTTCAACCTAGCTTGTTTACAGTATTTCAGTGTTGTTTACAGGTTAACAGTATTTAAGTGTTGTTTACTTGTTTATAGTATTTTTGTGTTGTATACAGTATTTCTGTGTTCTTCACAGGTTTACAGTATTTCTGTGTTGTTTACTTGTTTGTAGTATTTCTGTGTTGTTCACAGTATTTCAGTGTTGTTTACAGGTTTACATTATTTCTGTGTTGTTTACTTGTTTAAAGTATTTCTGTGTTGTTTACAGTATTTCTGTGTTGTTTACAGGTTTACAGTATTTAAGTGTTGTTTACTTGTTTATAGTATTTTTGTGTTGTTTACAGGTTTACAGTATTTCTGTGTTGTTTACGGGTTTACAGTATTTCTGTTTTGTTGACTTGTTTTTGTGCTGTTTACAGTATTTCTGTGTTGTTTATAGTATTTCCGTGTTGTTTACAGGTGGATGAGTACCAGGGAGGTAGGAGCCTAGAGGATCTCCTCGATTACATGGAGATCCAGCTGTCTGCAAAGAATGTGAATGCCGATCGGACCGATGAGAAAATTCCAGATGCAATACCAGAAGAAAAGGAACCTGAGGAAACTCTGGTACAGTTAATACACCTGATAAATTCTAAGCTCATTTTGTTTCTTGATTCCAGTGGTGTAGGTTGGTCTTTTTTCATGGAATTTTAATGCTCTTTGACTTGCAGCTTGTATCAGTCTAGTCTATTTTAACAATTGTTCAACATGATGGATATCTACCCCCTCCCCCTGACCCCACTCCCCACCCCAACCCAAGGAAAAAAAATCAGAATTCTGTCTAAATAAATTAATCTTTGCAGTTATCAAATTGGAAGTGAATAATATTATATACATGCATTTACTCTCTAGACATCAGTAAAATGTACATGTACATTTTTCTTTATTTCTTTATAGGAAGCGGTCTTTGAGTTGGAAGCCGATAGTTTTACGGGAGGCATAAGTGAAGGACTTGTTTTTGTGAAGTTTTTTGCACCATGGTAGTATATTAAAGACTGTTTTCTAAGAACAATATTTTTACTGCTTTGTTCATATCATGCAGATGTTTCATCTACAAGAACACTGAACTCTTGAACTTCAAAAAAACATTTCCATTATTATCTGTATCCACAGGTGTGGTCACTGTCAAAGACTTGCCCCAACATGGAAGGAATTATCAAAGGAAATGGCGAAGTATCCTATTGTCACCATAGCTAAGGTGGACTGCACCGTCAGTACCAACATCTGTAAAGAGAATGGAGTGAGTAATAATCTATATACCAATGTCTCTCATATTAGGTTTACTTTATAATCTATATACCAGTACCAATGTCACTCATATTAGGTTTACTTTATAATCCATATACCAATGGGCACACTTCTTTCAGACATCTGGGCGATGACCCGGTTCACTTTTATCACAGGACATATTGACCTGGTCAGTGTCGCTGAAACGAGTGAAAATTCAGCCGGAAAATGGCGGATACCGTTATCGGTGCTGTTGCTGTAATACACATGAGGACAACGATTTTGTGGATATATTTGCATTTTAATATTTACTAGATCCATTCAATGCACGATCTGTGAATTTGGAGCACAGGGCCTCGTTACAAACAAAACTGAAATCATAGTGCGCCCAATGTCTCTCATATTAGGTTTACATTATAATCTATATACCAATGTCTCTCATATTAGGTTTACTTTAGAGTATGCCTCATTTACTGCACAGTTTGGGCATAGGGAATATTCAAAACATTGAGGTTACTTACAAGTAATTTTCAGACAATCTGCCTTTGATGTCTTCCTATACTACTGAATAAAATTTAATAAGAAAATCACAGACTCCCTATTACATAGTGTCATTGTGACCTCCTATTTTACATTTGATTGGCCATGTATTTGGGGTTTCCCATTACAAAACATGGACTTGGACATTATACTCATATAGGAGTGGGGAATCATTTTGTGAACTCAGTGCTCACAGTACCTCTAGTTTCACTTTATTAAGCTTTTTATCCAGCTCAAAATCCTTGCTGTGCCCCCCTCCCCCCCCCCCCCCCCATGATGATTCTTACTCTACCTGACACATAATGATCTTTACTCTGCCCCACATACAATAATCTTTACTCTGCCCCAAATATGATGATCATTATTCTGCCCAAGGCTTGGTGATCATTGCACTGTCTCAGGTACAGTGGTTCTTACCCTGCCCCACACATGATGATTCTTATTCTGCCCCACACATGATGATTCTTACCCTGCCCGACACATGATGATTCTTACTCTGCCCCACACATGATGATTCTTACTCTGCCCCTCACATGATGATTCTTACCCTGCCCCACACATGATGATTCTTACTCTGCCCCACACATGATGATTCTTACTCTGCCCCTCACATGATGATTCTTACCCTGCCCCACACATGATGATTCTTACTCTGCCAAACACATGATGATTCTTACTCTGCCCCACACATGATGATTCTTACTCTGCCCTTCACATGATGATTCTTACTCTGCCCCACACATGATGATTCTTACTCTGCCCCACACATGATGATTCTTACTCTGCCCCACATGTGATGATTCTTACTCTGCCAAACACATGATGATTCTTACTCTGCCAAACACATGATGATTCTTACTCTGCCAAACACATGATGATTCTTACTCTGCCCAACACATGATGATTCTTACTCTGCCCCACACATGGTGATTCTTACTCTGCCAAACACATGATGATTCTAACTCTGCCCCACAGATGATGATTCTTACCCTGCCCGACACATGATGATTCTTACTCTGCCTGACACATGATGATTCTTACTCTGCCCCACACATGATGATTCTTACTCTGCCCCACACATGATGATTCTTACCCTGCCCCACACATGATGATTCTTACTCTGCCCCACAAATGATGATTCTTACTCTGCCCCACACATGATGATTCTTACTCTGCCCCACACATGATGATTCTTACTCTGCCCCACATGTGATGATTCTTACTCTGCCAAACACATGATGATTCTTACTCTGCCAAACACATAGCATTCCTAACCCTGCCTCATGCATGGTGATCCTTGCTTTGCCCCACACTTGGTGATCCTTTCTTTGCCTCACACATGGTGAGCCTTCCTCTGCCCCACTATTGGTGATATTGACTTGACATACTAGTATATTTGAACTGGAATTGGAAAATACAGGATAGGCTATGGAAGACAGATACATATATACATGTAAAACTGCAAGAATTATGATTTTTTTTGCTTAAATAGCTGATTTCTTTCTTTAAATGGAAGACATTATAGATTTATATCAATTCAAATTTAGGTCAGGGGATACCCAACACTGATTCTCTTCAAGGATGGACAGAAAGTAACAGAATACACAGGAAGTCGTGACCTTGGTGACCTTGTGGAGTTCATGCTTGAGCACATCCAACAGGAAGTTCATGATGAACTGTAACCATAGCATTCTGATCAAAATATTGATTTATTGTGACTGTGGATGAAACCTGCTGAAAATTTTTTTGCTAATTTTGTCAGAAATTTTAGTCCCTTTTATTATCAGTAATGTTTTATGTATTTCCGTCCAGTCATTTTCAGGGTGGGCAAATACTGGTTAATTTTCTATATACAGTCAAATTTTGTTATCTTGAACTGTAAGGGACCCAGATTAGACTTCCAGATATCTGAGGATACGATATGACCTCACTTTGATATATCCCAGGTATACAAGATATCAGGGTTTGAGGTAACAAAGTGCAACTGTACATTTAAGTCTATCAGTTGGTTTGTGTTCTGAAGATCAAAGTTATTCTCACAAATTAATCTGTCCAAATTTCTAAAGACATCCTTTTTAGTTTATATATTAAATATATCAAAAAAATAATTTGCAGGAAAAAAAAATCATTTGACATTTGGAAACTTTTTTGCAGATTGTATGCACTTTGTGGATGTGTAAATTTTATTTGGGACAAATTTTATTGATGGCAACATACATTTGGTGATGTTCTGTAAATCAGGTCCCTGTGCACCATTAATGGCATTGTTTTTTGTATGAGTTTAGCTGCCCCTGTGAACATTGTACAATAGTCAGATGTTCTTTATTGAGTGAAAGATATTATTAGCACTGTGTAATTGGGGATTGTGGTGATAGAAATTTATGATCCTTATGTATTCTTGTAAGCATTTTTAGCATGCAGGGTTTAAAAATGCACTAAAAGCTTTTTTTTTGGGGGGGGGGGGGGGGGGAGAAACAAAACATAAGAGATAGAAAGAGAGTAGTAATTTTTTTCATTCTGGTAGCAAGATATTTGGTAAATTGATGCATCAGGTGCATCATTATACAGTGTCACAAAATTGCTACTCTTAATGGCATACCGGTAGATAAACTTGATCAGTATGATTTACACTGGTATAGCGGGTCCTTATGAGTTGTGTCTGTGTAAATTTAAATTTGTATATGTAGATGAGAGTTCTAACGTACACATGCTCTTTTTGATGATCTTGGTACGTTGTATGTTTTGTTCCAATTATTTGTACTCCATTAAAAGATTGTGTGTCGTTCTATCCTGCTTCAGATTTTTGTCATAATGCAGTTTTGTGAAGAAGTATTTGGTGTATATCAGAAGTATACATGAAGATTATACACAATATCTACTAATGTGAGACATATGAATATGATACTCAGAATTAGGCATTAACAGGTACACAAGTATCGAATTCAGTACAACAGAGAGATAAAATGTTACCTGATGGAAAATATATAAATGTAAACTGTAATTAAGTTCAGCATCAGCCATTAAATGGATTCAAAGAATATGTTACAAGATATATGAATATGTTTGGGGCACCCCAACAATATGTGTTCTGATTTTCTTACCTCGTTTCTAAGTTGTTGTTTTTTGGTTCATTAAATTTAAATGTATTCACATGAACTTTATAAATTCCTGTTGGAAAATTTTTATTTTAAATATTTATCAATCAAAATTTTGCACCCCTATATTTATGCCGCATGCCTATGATTGTACTCACATGTTCATTGTTTTGTGATAAAGGACGTATGGTCATTCATTATAATGCTGAAGTATGACATTTTCAACACTTTGATTCTACAAGTTAATTTTCATGCTGTATCGTTTTCATCTCCATCTACATGTATGCCTTCATTCCACACCTAAAGGTTAATATATATATATATATGTTTATATATATAATTATATATATATATGTATATATATATATACACACACACACATACATGTAACTGTACTAAACAATAACTTGTAAAATAGAACAAAATGTGATGAACTCTAGAAAGCTTATTTGGTAGAGCACTTGTCTAGGTATGTTGTGACCTTGACTGAAATTAATTTGGGTAATATCAAGGACACACATGTAAATAACATAAGGCTTTATCCATGCCACAACAGCTGTGTGTTCAAAATTCATACTTTTATCACTTAGTGTACCCTGAGCCCCAACTGTTATAATGGTAAATTCAGGGACACACTCATACTTGACTCAAAAGTTGCTTATAACCAACATGTATTGTGGACTTGGTAGCAAGTCAGTTTAAACAGGAAATGTAGAGTATGAAATTTTCTTCGAGGTTCATTGTTGGGGGCTCTAACAAGGTCGCAACATTGGTCAAGACTCAACTCTTGTTCTGTTCTACACAGTTTGGAGATGTGGTATATATATATATTATTAATATGTGTTAAATGCATGTCACAGAAGTCCTTCTGAAAGCACCTCTTGCATACCTGTATCTTGTCAAGTTATTTAACTTGTATATATAACAACTTTCTCCTTTGATCAACTATTGACACTGTCAGAACACTCAGAGCTGTATATGTATGTAGTTGGTGTGTGGTGTGATTTACTTTCATCTTTGTTTTATAAAATATATCACTAGTTCACCACAGATTACATACTTCCTTCAAATCAATGTGGCATTAACTTTTCAATAACTGCTTGTGAAGCAATTAACTTTATCACTTTTTTTCTTTTGCCGGTAAAGCTTTTATATTACTGTAAAGAAGTCATCATGGGAATTTTTGATTCCAATTTTGTATTTATTAAAAGTGACTTATAAATTTATAGATTAAATATGGATGAATAATTAGTACATGATCATTCAAATTTTACATAGAATGGTTAAAAATATGTATTCATAATTTTACAAACTGGTTTGGAAATCGATTGATAAAATCTCTATTGGAAACTTCATGTATTAGATGCATTTTGATTCAGAATTATGTTGTTTGGAACTTCAAGTGATGCATAATCAATAAAATAATTAGATTTTTTATTGTATTTCTTATATATTGCTGGACTAGCAGAAGAATGGACATAGTTATTCCAGAATATGTTCTCAATAACTTTGTATGATCATGGCTGTATTAAAGATAAACTAGAAATATGTCCATAGGACATGATTGCCCCACCCAGGGTTCATTAAAACAAACTGTGTCATCAGTTTGTATCAGTATACAGTTTTATCAAAATATCTTGAACACTTTTTTGGAAACTTGGGTAACTGCAAAACGAAGGAAATATTCAATACAGTAGTCAAGGACTATGTCGAAGTTAAAAAAAATAACACAACCAAATTACTCTCACCAATATGTATTTCAGCACAAGATGTTTAATTTAAAAAAAAAATAACACAACCGAATTACTCTCACCAATATGTATTTCAGCACAAGATGTTTAATTTAAAAAAAAAATATTTAAAAGTTATAATCAAGGTCATTGGAAGGTCAAAGTCATAAGGATTAGGAAGGTCCAGGTCAAAACTAATAACAGAGTTTAACTATAGGTCACCTGACTCCAGTGTCCCACAGGAGTTGGTACACTTAACAATTTAACAATATTTTCAGTAAATAACAAGATGTGTTTGTGAAACACTGATGCCCCCGTATGGCAGCTTATGGCGAAGGTTAAAGTTTCTCAAATGCAAGTCAAAATCCAGGCCAAAAGATAAAAAATGTTAAATTTGAAAGCCCTAGCTGCAACTGTTCAAAAGTTATGGCGAAGGTCAAAGTTTTTTAAAAGTAAGTAAAACATCAAAGTCAAGGTCAAAGTGGTTGGTATCCAAAGGAAGGTCTTGTCACAAGGATTACAAATGTAAAGTATGAAAGCCCTAGTACCAACCATTCAAAAGTTATGGCCAAGGTTAAAGTTTTTCAAAAGTAGGTTAAACTCCTAGGTCAAGGTCAAAGGGACAAAGTGGTTGGTATCCAAAGGAAGGTCTTGTCAAGGATTACATATGTAAAGTATGAAAGCCCTAGCACCAACCATTCAAAAAGTATGGCCAGGGTTAAAGTTTTTCAGAAGTAGGTCAAACTCCTAAGTCAAGGTCAAAGGGTCAAAGTGGTTGGTATTCAAAGGAAGGTGATGTCACAAGGATTACATATGTTAAGTATGAAAGCCCTAGCATCAACCATTCAAAAGTTATGGCCAAGGTTAAAGTTTTTCAAAAGTAGGTCAAACTCCTAGGTCAAGGTCCAAAGGTCAAAGTGGTTGGTATCCAAAGGAAGGTCTTGTCACAAGAATTACATATGTGAAGTATGAAAGCCCTAGCTCTAACCGTTCAAAAGTTATGGCCAAAGTTAAAGTTTTTCAAAAGTAGGTCAAACTCCTATGTCAAGGTCAAATTGTCAAAGAGATTGATATCCAGAGGAAGGTCTTGTTACAAGGAATACACTTGTGAAGT